AGAAAAAATGTAGTGCATCTTTCTGGAACAGTGGTGTTACCAAGTGATAAATAATTTAAAACATGGTTTTATATCAAAAACACAATGTATTTGTGGAGTCAAAGGCAAAATTTCCAATCATTTGTCAAGGTACCACTTAGGTACCACCATCCACCATCACCCTTTCCAGGAGAAAAATTTGAGATGTTCTATCTGAATGTGCCAAGAAATTTCATGCCTTTGGCTTTTGCATATGCTATTGCTCATCCTGGAATCCTGGAGTGTTCTTCCCATTTCTGCCCTTTGGTAACACTTTTTTTTTTTTTTTTTTTTTTGGTAGCACTGCGGATTGAACTCAGGGCCTCACAAATGCTATGCAAGTGCTCTACCACGGAGCTACACCCAACATCCCAGGTAAACGCTTCTTATCCTTCAAAGCCCAATTTAAGTGTCATCCTATGCAGTGGTCACTTTTAACCAAGCACAGATGTTGTCCCATGTAGTAGTTGTGTTTTTGAACATCCGCTATGTCTGTGGCCTCTTTCTCCTCATAGCTCTAGGCAGAGTTAGCAGTCCTCTCTTGTGTTTCCACCATCCTCTACTCAGAATCCCCATGATAACATTGCTCACATTATACCACAGCTACTTGCTTTCCTATCCATTTCTGTTTCTGGAATGTAAACTCCTCTAGGGCAAGGACAATTTTAAAAAATATATCTTTGTATTTTTATCTTTGTATTCTTGACAGTTGGTAGACACTCAATAAGGTGGATGTTGAACTCAGTACCATTTCTTACTATGTAACACTCCTGCTCTCATATAAAGTAACATCTCCTTTACTTCTCACCTTCAGGTGTTCCGCAAAAGCATCTTTTCCAGACAACTGTAATTGACTTCCCAAAGTATCCAAATCTGCTGTTTATAAATCTTCATTTTGGGAAAAAAGTGTGTTGGCAGGGTTCTTATCAAAACAGAGGGGAGACCAATAAAGTAGAGGAAAGGGACCAGGGGAGGGCCAAGGGGAGATACCAGGGAAAGATATTGACCAAATTATATTGTTATATTGTGCATATGTATGAATATGCAGCAATGAATTCCACTATTATGTATAATCATAATACACCAATAAAAAATTGGAAAAAAAATCATCATTTTGGTGGGAATTTCTTTTTACACACTTGCTTGTTCTCATAAGTAAAACATACTTTAGCATAATGTGTTCTTTGGTGACTTGACCCTGAAAATATCAGGGTTATGCTGGGTTGGAATTTGTGATGTCCTCTGGGGCCACTGATGGGAGAGGTTTTTTTTTTTTGTGTGTGTGTGTATGTGTCTTCACACTAAATAACACTATTCTTCTCTGGGTTTTGTTGTGATGGTGGTGGTGATGGTGGTGCTGGGGATCAAACTCAGGACTTCCTACATGCCAGGCATTCCTTCCACCACTGGGCTACAACCCCAGCCTGGTTTTTGAATTCTTATGCCTGTTTCTTATAGTTTGGTCAGTATGCTTGCTCTAACATTACCCTTTTTCCTTTTTTATTTATCTTTTATTTTGGGAGATGGAGGGGGTTGAACCCAGGGGCACTTTATCACTGAGATACATCCCAAGCCCTTTTTATATTTTATTTTGAGACAGGACCTTACTAAATTGCTGAGGCTGTCCTCAAGCTTGTGATTCTCCTGCCACAGCCTTCCTCCTGAGTCACTGGGATTACAGGCATGTGCCATTGTGCCTGGTTCCCTTTGCTCCTTTTATATACTTTGTAATGGATATTAAAAATTACAAAACAAATACATCTTAATGGGAAACAAACAAAAATGTATGAAGTAAAAAATCCAAATCCTCCCTTCATTCGTGTCACTCACCCATACCCACACTCCCATTCCCTAGGCATATTCATTGTTAACAGTTTAATGTGTTTCTCTGCAGGCCTTTTTCTGTCAATGTGTGTGTACACACACACACACACACACACACACACATATATATATACACAAATATTAAATCATATATGCATAATGTTCTATGACTTGCTTTTCTTCACAATTGACAGTATATAAAAGGCATCCTTCCATGTCAGTACATTCAAGTCTATCTCATTCTTTTTAATGGCTGCCCCCTTTTAATTTGACAATCTTAATCAGCTGTAAATGGGAAAGCCAAATAATCAAGCTTATTAGAATTGTACCTAAGAAAGAGTAAATCGGCTCTGAGTGAAGGCTTGTGGAATTCTCCTAGGAGTAAAATGTGTTAACTTTAGTGCATGGACTTTGTAATGTTTATTTTGGCTATTCTGGGACTCTTTTTGCTTATTTCCTGCTTCATTGTGTTTTGTGTAGCTGAGGTTGCTGAACATGTGATTTGAGAATTAGTGAGGTATTACACATTTGTTTTGCATGATATAATTTTGCTATAATTTTCAGGAATCTCACATTTCATTTTTTGTTCTTATAGACAGTGATTATTTCTTCTGGTTTCTAAGTACTTGAGTCTTAGTGAGGACCATTTCATATGGTAGCAATTAAAAATGCCTGGCTTGATGACTGACACAGGGATTCTTATCTCTGTGGTCTACCTGTGAGAGTATGCACTAGACTTATGGGAACCCTATAATTTGATTTGAAGACACCTTTTACTACTGATGAACATTAAAATAAGATAATGTATTGAGCTACAAATGATAAAATCCTACTTAGGATTCATACAGGTCTTCTGCCTTCATCCACCATAGTAAAAAGTCTAAATCTACTTGATTCAACCTTTTAGATATCACTGTAATGTGCCCCTCTTCCCTATTTCTACTGTTCTAGTATCTTGGTTCAGGACCTATTATTTCTCTACTGAGTTACTTATAACAGACTTTTAATTAGTCTCCCTGCTTCTTGTCTCCCTGCCAGCCTGCCCACAACTGGTGTTTATTTAAAAATAGAAATCCTACCACATTACACCCCTAAAAGCCCCTCTAGGGGTTTCTTATCATCTCTAGGATAAAATCCACTTTCCTAGCTTAGTATACAGAGCCTTTTATGATTTGGCCCACTTCTGCTTATTTATTGATGTTTGGTGCCTCATTACTTCAATTTTTAGGGAATCAAGTGGCTTGTAGTTCTTTCAACATATCACCTGAGAGTGTTCAATAAATGCTTGTTAAATTAATTAATGAGGGGCTGGGATTGTGGCTTAGCAGTAGAGCGCTCTCCTAGCACGGGCGGGACCCAGGTTGGAACCTCAGAACCACATAAAAATAAAGGCATTGTGTTGTGTCCATCTACACCTAAATAAATAAATATTTTAAAAAATTAATTAATGAAATACCTTAGGTACCTAGGATGACCATTTGACTTGCTTGACCCAAGATGATCCCTGATCATACCTGTCATCTTAGCATAATTATCAACTTTGTTCCTTTTTATGATCAAACTTGTCTCAGACAATAAATTATATGGCTACCCTAATTACAGGAGTCATCAAATTGATTTCTGACCCTTTCTTTGTCTCTTCAAGTAGATGGTAAGCTCTTCAGGGACAGGAATTTTGTCCGTTTTTATACCCATGTTTATTCAAATAACAGATTGCCATTGTTAGGTACTGAGGAGATAATGTTGACTAAAACAAACATAGTTCTTGCCCACATAGAGTTTACAATTCAGCAGAAAAGAACAATCTAATGAAAAGAATAGTGCCTAACATAAAAAATGCTGGTGTATAAATGAATGACTAAACCATGGATTTAGAGATTTAGAAGTTCCTAAATGAACTACCTTAATCCCATGAATTATAGAGACAGAAATAGTCATAAACTAAGCGATCAACCATTAATTTAAAGAGTTGTAAATTAAAAATTTTAAATATAAACAACACACATACTGAAGCATGAGTAATATTAAGATGTTACCTTAATGTTAAACATAAGAAAAAAGAATGATGAAATAATATAAAAAATGAAACTTTGGATCTCATTCTGTTTTAGGCAACATGTTATCCTTTGCAGGGTGGATTATTGTTATGGTACTCCTAGGGGATTTACTTTCTTTCCAGATGAGAAATCTGAGGTTTAGAAATCAAGCCACTAAACAAAGGAATGATTTTTTAAACCAGGCTTAGATTTTGGTTGGGCTTTACTTTCAGAGCTAGGACTACATGCTATCCTAGACTTGTTAACTGAGTTTCCCTGGGCCAATTACAAAACCCTTTCAACCTCAATTTCCGCTTTTATACTAGTGATAATATAACTCCAGAATTAATCGAAGGATAAAATGATATTATTTAAAGGCATTGTAGTTCCATAACCTGGCTTCTAGAAGGCTCTTAGGAATATTAGTTCTTTTCCCATTTATCATTCTGTGCTTGATGATTTAAATGAGTTGAAGAGAAAGAACCAGAATATGAACATCAATAAAACACCAATGAAAAAGCCTACTCTCAAATCTCTGTGTTAAACTAGGCCCTCTTTACTTCCTCTGAAAGTTATAGTTTTATTCATATTCAATGATTATTTTATTTTTGTAGGCAAAGACCCAGAGAAGTATTCTAAGAATGAAACCGTGGGTAAGAGCTTTCTGAAAAAAAAAGGCAGAGTTTATAAGAGAACCAGGCTTTGGGAATCAGTTTGCAGCCTTGGGTGTCAGTCTTAAAGATTTACCATTTACTCTTAGTCACTTTTGGTTCAAGAAAGAATGGACAACAGCAAACCATTCATTGAGACTGTGGGGAAGGGGGGGTAACGAGGAAATGTAAACAATAGCAGAGGCTCTCTGTAGTTTCCACTACATCTAGCGACCCCAAGACTATCTGAGCCCTTTCTTAAGGGCCAGCAGGTCTATTCTTCAGGAGTTCCCTGGGTCTGGACTCCATTTCCCAGAGTCCCTTAGTGCCCTAATGTATTCAGTGCTCAGAGTGCCTGTATGTGTGTGAGTGTGAGAGAATGTGCGTGTATGTGTGTGTGTGTGTGCGCGCGCGCGCGCGCGCGTGTGTGTGTATGTGTGCGCCTCCGAGTCCCTGAGAGAGTGGAGGCTCATTCACTGATTAGAGCCAGCGCTGAGAGGCAGCACTGCTCCTTCTCTCACACCAACCGAGTCTCTTGATCTGTACATGCAATCCCAGGCAGCTCGCGAGCACAAACCCGGGGCCAGCCGCCTGCTGCTGCTGCTGCTGCCGCTGCCGCCGCCGCCGCCGCCGCTGCCTCCGCCGGCTCTGCGCACCCGGGACTTTTCATGCACCACACTCTCCGCCTTCTTCCCTCAGTGTCCTGAAAAGTGCGATCGTTCTCCCCAGGAATTTCCACGGCAAGTATGGAGATCAGAAGGAGGTGTGGATGTGTGTGCGTACATAAGAGGGGTGGGTGCGAGGACGGCCGGGTTGCTCAGGAACCTGGCTAACTTTCCCGGTCGGTCTCCTAGGGATTCGGGCGGCTCCCCCACTATAGGGGCAGAGGCTGGGACCTGCACTGGCGCGTCTCAGATCCTCGCTACGAAGCCTCCCGGCGTCGGTGCCCGGCGCGCTCTGTGCGCTGCCTCACTCAAACTTTCCGTCTTGAGTTTTCCTTAATGTGTTTTATTTGGGGGGTGCAAGGGGGAGGGACCAGACGCGGGAATTGGACTAGTAGGGTGGGTGAGGGGACAGCCAAGAGAAAGGAGCAGGACTCCTTTTCTCCACGTTCTAATAAGCCCCATTTCCACTTTGTTTGGGTCGATCGCAAGAATGCCCTCTTGCTGGGCTCTCCGGTGTATCCCGCGGTGATTTCCGGCGGGGCCGGGGCTGGGGCTGGGTGGTACTCAGTGGGGAGCCGGAGGCTTCGGGAGGGTTAAGGAAGGGGAGATCCGTTGAGACACTATCCCGGCCGCTCCCATACAACATACCGCCTGCCGAGTGGGGTATCCAAGGAGAAGCTGGGGATTCTGGGGGTCCCCGGAGGCTTGGCTTACTTTTTTTCTAGCGGAGGCGGGTGTGGAAGGTGTGGAAGGAGGGTGGGGTGGGGTGAGGGGAATCTTCTGCCGACTGGAAGGAGGCAGGTGCTGGCACGGAGGTGGACTGTTCTAAATACAACCGGTAAACTCCCGGCTTCGCTGGGGTGGACCTGCCTGGCCTTAGAGCAGCCCAATCCGTGGGGTCCCCCGGGATTTTGGGGATCAGGACCCCTCACCCAGCAGCTGTAAGGAGTGGAGAAGGGAGGATGATCGTGCAGACTCAGGCGCTGTTGCTCTTTTTGTAGTGTTATTTTTATCTTAGACCTGCCTTAAACTGAGTAACAATTTCTCTTCTTCCGACTTGAGAACAAAACTTTTCAGTGAGCACGCCGGTCGCTGCAGTCCTGCGGCCACCGCCGCCGCGCTCTTCAGCCTGGGCAGAGCGACCTTCCCCGCCCGGAGTCCGGCCCGCCACCGCGCTCCGGAGCCTCCGGCGTCCCCTCCCGCCCCCCCGCAACCCGGGGCTTTTCAGGGCTCGGCCTGGGCGTTTCGCCTTTGTGCTTTGTAAGAGAAAGCCTTTTCTTCCAGGGCACAACAAACTTGGGCGGAGAGCTTCCGTGTGGCCCCCTGGGCGAGGCCGCCCACGGTGGTGAGGCCATTCAAGGAGATGTCCAGTTTATCCCTGGCTCTAGGAGCCCCTACGAGAGCTCGATGCCTGGGTGACCGTGGCCGGCGAGGGCATGCGGAAGCCCCGAGGTAGCAGGGTCTCGGGCTGCCCAGAGGCAAAGGACAAGCCCCCGCTTCCCTTTAAGAACGTACTGCTTTCTCAGGCCCTGGCCGCAGCTCTAGCCGAAGACCGTGGCTTGGGCCGCGGATTCAGTGCGCGTCACACCGGGTGGGTGCATAGGGCCAGGGCCATCGGGATGGGGAGCAGGCCTGCCTGGAGGGCCGGGCTTGTCCGAGGTCTCATGCCTGCGCCGTCTCCTTGTCCCGGGAGCAGCAGAGAGGGAAAACACCGGCGCTCTTTGCCCACGCTGCCCAGCAACCACGTCTTGCCTCTCGCCCCCGCGCCAGACTCGGCTTGAGGGGCAATGCGGAAAGTAAAGAAAAATAAAGAAAAAAGGGCGGGCAATGAGGAAGCAGCGAGTGGGACTGGGGGAGTAGAGCGGGCAGGGGCCCTGTGCCTTGCCGGGCCTCCTCCTCTTTCCGTCTCTCCAGCTCTTCCCGCAAAGGGAAAATGAGCAAAGAGGGAAAGACTGAAAGAGCGTCGAGGAAAAGCGCTCCGGGCATCTCCGGTTCGGATCTCTTCCTGGCTCGCGAAGACCCGGCAAAAGTGGCGTGAGTTAGCTCGCTACGCTCTGGGGAAAGGTGGGGGAAGGCCGAGGACAGGGCGGCGCCCCTCCGCTGGTGACCGACGGGACCGGGGCTGGGAGCGGAGTGAGCCGGGACACACACCTGTTCTGCTAACCGCGCCGGGTGCGGCGGCTCGGCAGCGGTGGCGCAGAGGGCAAAACCCTCCCTTCGGCTCCCCACACCCGCTGTCCCGGAACGCGGCAGCCCCACACTCGACCGCATTTGCACGAAAGTAGAGTGGAGGAGCCCGTTGCTGCCCGCTGAAGCGGCGACAAGACCCGGGTGACCCTCGGGGCGGGGCTGTTTAGGGGCTCCAGGTCCTTGGACTTTGCTCGAAGGCAGAGTGCTTGGAGACCCTGTCCCGAGGCCTTGCGCGGCTGCAGACCAGAGCCCCTTGGGCTTCTTTGCTTTTGCGAAACCGGCACCTTGGTTCCCCAAAGTTAAAGCAAATTGTTTCCATGCGGAGGTTGTTGGGCTGTAAAGTATTCTTTGTACAAAGGCAACCAAGAGCTGGAGAGAGAAGTCAGGCCAACGAGTGGTGGGTGGGCTCGGCTGAACGTTGGCCCCAAGTTTATGTAGGCTTCGCCTTCATCTCGTCTTTCCCCGTTTTCCCCCAAAGAGATGGTTTTTCCGGGTCATGACTCTTCCCGGCTGAATTGTGCACCCGCTTCTCAGCGGGCATCCCCGCGGCTCCGCACAATCCGATCGGTCCGGTTGTCTTGGATTCGCAACTCTTAGCCAAGCAGGGCCTGGGTCCTGATCCAAACGTGGGGCTGATACCCAGCCTTGTCTGAACCTTAGGCGTCGGCCATAGCCTGAGAACCGTATTAGCCTTATGCTCCCAGAGTTTTCGCATGTGGTGGTAAAATTTCTGTTAGGGCGGTGTTTCCAAATACCCCCTGGGCATTTGGTGTGCGGGGTTGGGGCGGGGGGGGGGGGGGCGATTCTCTTTAAGCGAATCCTGTGAACTTAAAAAAAAAAAAAATCTTTCCTGCGTTCTTCACAACCCCCAACTACTCTGGCCTCACTTTCCATTGTTCTTTGATTTTTAAGTTGCCTGTTAATTTTTTAAAAGTTTATTTATGCAAAGGAAAAAATATCGTTTAATTTGTTCTATATTTTAAGTCCTGGCTTTTGGAAACGGTTCAGAGACCACAAAAATGTCACCTGTTGTTATAAGCAGAGGAGTGTTGTGTGTGCATTTTAATTGCCAGCAGAGTCGTAGTTTGGTGGGCGCCCTGAGCTCGGCTCCAGGAGAGAGCCCTTTGCAGCTTGCTTTGTGGCAGTCATTTGCAAGTGGGTTTGGCTCCCAACAGCAGCAGCAGCAGCAGCAGCAGCAACAGCAGCAGCAGCAGTAGCAGCAACAGCAACAGCAGCAACACGGCTTCTTCCTACGCTGATCTTGGGCGAGGGTCAGGAAGCCCAGACCCTGGAAAAGGGTGGGAGATAGCCCACTCTCTGGGACTTTCTGGCTTTCGTTTTTTCTGTGCGAAAGTGGTTAGTTCGCGCTGGAGAGCGCGGAGCGCTGCGCATCAGCCCAGTCTCAGACATTTTCACGTTCCAAATGCCGGCTTCTTCGTTTCATTTGTCTTGGTTCTGGCATGTTTAACCACGCAATTAGTAATCTCACTAATTATTCAGTTAGCTGGCGTCTTGTAATCACTTTAAACCAGGGTCGGGTGTGTGATTTAAGAAACAAACTCCCACACACAGAGAACTGAACCAAAACCCATCACGTCAAGGATTTGAGATTTTTAAAACTCAATATTTGTTGGTCCCTCTGTCCAACCTCACTGCCTGCCAGACAATTTATTTAGCTTCGTGGATTGATCCCTCCTCCTTGTTTAGTTAATTCAACAAAGACTTTTTGCAATCTGTTTGGAGTTTGTCTGATGCCGTGGAAAAGTAGCTGATGATTTATTTGGTTGCTTTTCGATTTCTGTCTTCAGCCCTTCTTTCTCCTCCTTTCAGCGGGGATGTCAGCTGTTATTACTTCCTATTGATCCCTTTGCAAAGTGAGAAGTGAACTAAAATTAATGTCAATTCCACTGCTCGGATCAATAGCTGGAGTTATTTTAATCTGGATTTGCACGAAGTGCTAAATTAAAAAAAATCAGCATAGAGGCAGAAAAGTAACAGTTACTTACTTTCCCTCTGCCCGGTTCTTTACAGTCACCCAAATGCTCCATCAAGCTGATTATCTTACAATCCATATTTTTTTAATTAAGAGGGTCAGTTAGTTTTCTTATTTTGGGTTCTGTGTTTAAACCCATGACATTTTGACATTGGGAGTGTATTAACTATAGATTTTCATAATGACTGTGGTCTGCTGAAGCCTCATCTATACAAGTTGTTAATGTTAGGAGGGGGGAGAAAGAAAAGAGAAAAGAAAAAACACCCCTCCTCCCCCTCAGAGACCAACGCCCACACAGTGGAGTAAAAGAGATGTGGCCTGGAAAAATATTGTTGATTTATTTTCGGTATAATGAAGTTTTCAAATGAATAAGCAGGTTTGAGTGATTCACTGTGTTCTATTGGAGTGTCCGGTGCTGTCACCAGATTATTAATTTATGAAACTCATTTAATATAATGAGGTGATCCAGGAAGCAAAAATAGAAAGTGAATCCTGGGGGTAGTTATTTTGGGGAAGAAACATTTTTGCCAGACCCCCAGTGTAATTAAGTTTGTCCTTTTCTCCAGCCAGCTTCACATACTATGGTTTGTGGATAGACTTGTAGTTATTTATTTCGGTTGTGAAGAGCTGCTTAGAACCCTTGGAACCCCCCCTAGATCCACTTTCAGAGAATCCATGTTGTATGACCATTAATCTGACTTGAAAACAGCCAAGAACCGGATTCCCAGACTTGTCAGGCTAACTGGCTGTCCTTGGCAGATCATTCCCTGCACTGCTATAACTTGACAGGAAAGTTATTTAAAATTTGGAAGAGAGAAAAATCCGTTAATGTGAGATACATAATCTGGTAATTTAGCAATGATGTCTATAAGGAAAGATGCCAAATGAGGAAGCAGTCTGATGGTGTCCACTCATCTTCCCAATTAATAACAGTCATTGACACGTCTGCTACAGGATGGGAGAAGGAAATACTCTCTTTGCACTGCATTAAGCGGAGAGGATTCATCTGCAGTTTAACTGAGGATTCTTTATTTGAGGGAATACCAAAGAGACTCCATTATGGAAGTGGGTTTTTAAAGGGGGGGGGGTCAGTTTTATTTCTGTCTCTCAATTTAAAGGTTATTCTTTGTAGCAGGTGGTGATTTGGGGTTACACTTTGAGTTTCCTTCAGTTTCTACTTAGTGTATATATTTTTGAAGCTAAAAAGTCTATCTTTTCCTGGCTTTTGATATATAGCCCTTTTCCCCAACCCCCACTCAATATAAATTCTGAAACCCAATCAGTGGCTATGAAAACTACAACCTAAATTTACAAGGTAAACCAAAAGAAGTCTGTTTGAACTCCAGTTTGTTCTAGGGGGCCTTTATTGGACATCAACTCTGACCAGGCCAATAAGCAGAGCAAAATAAGTCAGAAATTTTGTTAACATTTTACTCTAAATGTTAATGGCAAATCCAAGGCAGTTTACAAATCTACTTAGGAGTGAGTGCATTAGTAACTAAAAAAATTACCAATCCTTTCTTTGCTGCCCCTGGAAGACAAACGCTTGTGGAGAGCATATGCCAAAGGCACCCATTATGTTTTTAAATATTGTTAGAGACGCCAGGCATTTTATTGATGAAGGTTTTGTTCCTTCTCAGAAAAGAGAAATAGGAAGGCTGTGTGATTTGAGAAGGGTGTGCATCAGAAATGATGTTGCTGCTATGATGTTGCTACTTCTTTCTGGAAACAGTCTTAGATGATACACAGAGATATATGTTTATGTACATGCCAATGGATATGATCAAGCCACATGTACAGTTTGTACCCACTAATCTGTACAGATGTTCCTGGTCTAGGTGTGCTTGATATAAGGGTTTTTCAGTATCTGGGCGTTGTTAGGGAAGATAAAGAGAGGATGGAGATGTGAGAAATCATAAGCAGAACCTAGCTTCTGAACATCAGGCCTGCCATGACTAGGGTATGTGGTTGAAGCCCTTTTAAAATATAGACCCCCCCCCCCCCCCCCCCCCTGGGTGACTTGGCCTTCCAAAGCTCATTTGCTCAGGGAATATTGTATTTGGAGGTTTTATGATTTTTTTTCTTTCCTGGGCTCAGGCGCATTTCACCCGGAACGTGTAGGGACCAAAGTCAGCTACGCGTACATCACAGTAAGTTGTCTATTGATTTTCCTGAATGAAAATGGTCTGCTGCTGCTGCCCACTGGCTCCTAAAGCCTGTGGTGTCTCTTGCCCGAGCATCTGTAAGCCAGAAGGATGGTGTTTCGATCACTTGGGGTTTCCCTTTTTTTCCTCCCCCTGACTTTCCTCCTCCCTCTTTTTTTTCTCTTTGCTGTTTCTGCAGGTCTTAGAAGGGCATGATTCCCCAGTAATATTCCCTGCCCTGATCCAAGGTGCCGCTTGGCCTTCCTCCCAGGGAAGACTGCTTCTTGTGTGACACCAGCCATTGAAAGAGACTCCGATGGACTTACACCGGGCAGCCTTCAAGATGGAGAACTCATCCTACCTTCCCAACCCTCTGGCATCCCCAGCATTGATGGTCCTGGCGTCCACGGCTGAGGCCAGCCGGGATGCTTCCATTCCTTGTCAGCAGCCACGACCCTTTGGTGTACCTGTCTCAGTAGACAAGGATGTGCATATTCCGTTCACCAATGGTTCCTACACCTTTGCCTCTATGTACCATCGGCAAGGTGGAGTGCCAGGCACTTTTGCCAATCGTGATTTCCCCCCTTCCTTACTACATCTGCACCCCCAGTTTGCTCCCCCAAATCTAGATTGCACCCCAATCAGTATGCTGAATCATAGTGGTGTGGGGGCTTTCCGTCCCTTTGCTTCCACTGAGGACCGGGAGAGCTATCAGTCAGCCTTTACACCGGCCAAGCGACTTAAGAACTGCCATGACACAGAGTCTCCCCACCTGCGCTTCTCAGATGCAGATGGCAAGGAATATGACTTTGGGACACAGCTGCCATCTAGTTCCCCCGGTTCACTTAAGGTTGATGACACTGGGAAGAAGATTTTTGCGGTCTCTGGCCTCATTTCTGATCGGGAAGCCTCATCTAGCCCAGAGGATCGGAATGACAGATGTAAGTACTTTGGTTGGAGCCCTCCCTCGCCCCCAGTTAGCCCTGCCTCCCAGTAGTGTTCAACAGGTCGGCGGCATTGTGCATGCTCCTAGTGACGGGAAGGGTCAACCACTTCCCTTGCGATAGCTATGGAGTGCTAACATTTATTTGTCTCTCACCAATGAGCACTGATAGTTCTTATAGAAAGTGTTTTTATGAAAGTAGCCAGAGGCAGATTGGCCTCAGCACTGCTTTATCTCCTGGATCTGGCTTGCTTCTTCTGGGGATTGTGGAATGAAGAGGGTGCCATATATACACTGGAGTGAAGGTCATTTCATTCGAAAGTGTAGGTTCCCAGGGAATTTGGGAGGCCTGAAAAACTTGTCCATCCTTCCTCTTTTTGCTGGTCTCATTATGGCTCTCTGATCGCAGTATTATTTTTTAGCTTTTCCATTGTATCACAGCCAGCAGACTCCACGTGATTTTATTTTCACAACTCTCAGCCCTTGTCCACATCAGGCTATTTTTCAGAGAAGGACAAAGGTGTCGTCAATCACCATAAAGCATTTCAAACAGCTGTGTTTTCCTTGCGCTCGCAAAGCTGGAAAGCCGACCTCTCTTGGGATTTGACAGGTTTGCTGGACGCTTATCCTGGGGCTCACTTTTAGGACTAGACACGGTTGACCTGTGTGACTGCTCCATAGTTGATGTTCACAGCTATTATTAATTTCTGCTTAGAAAATGGCTTTTCTCATGTTCTCCAAGAACCTTGTTGGGCTCTGGCTACACTCATATTGTTGAAACTACAGCTTTATTTGGAACTTGTAGACTAGAGTGCTGAACCTTGCAATCTTCTGCTCTGATATAATCAGAAAATAATTGTGTTTTGAAGCTTTTGGGCTGTGGGTAGACAGAGCAGTTTTCTTCAAGCCTGGTGAGAATTTATGAACTGAGGGTGTTTTCCCACCCAACCCTTTGTTCTGAGATTTGCTTCATTTTATTTTCTTAAGAAAACTACATCTGAGGTTTGCTTTCCCCTCTTCTTTATTTTTTTGTACTCCTGTCCTCTCTATAACCACCAACACGAATACCATTTTTTTCTCTTCTCTTTATGATGCCGAGGAGAGTAATAGAGACATTGCAGCTCTCTCCCCTGTCGGCACTGCTTCCTCAGGCTGTCTCCTTGAATTAGGCACTGTGTTAACTTTCCTGCGCTAAAAGGCATCTGCCTAAACCCAGCGTACCTTTTCAATAAAAGTCATCATAAAATCAACCTGCCTTGTAAATCCATCGCTCTTTGGTTTTGAAATATGTTGCTAGTGTGTCTTTTATGTCAGCGTCTGTAAGCCAGAGACCTCCCCACTTAAGGGAGAAGGCTGCTACATGACAGCACAACTGCTAGTGTGGTTCTCACACTTGGGCTTTCGAGCCTTTCTGTTGACTTTCTGTGTATTTTGATCCTGCTTCTGAATATACCTGCTGGACAGGTGTTGGTATTATGTTGATTTGTTTTTGTTTTATTTTCTTTTACTTTTTATTTTTTAACGGGATGTGTAAGTGATCAAAGCTAGCTATAATCTGACCTCTGGCTAAAAGTGCCCTGGGTTAGGGTTCTGACCCTTTTTTCCTCCAAGTCCAAGTTGAAAATGAAATCTTCTCAAAACGAATATGCTACAAAGTAACATCTAGAGATCATGATTCCTTTCTTCTCACCTAACAGATCCAGCTTGTCTCCATTTGCTGTCTTTTTAGCCCAAACCCGTGTCAGACTCTCAGAGCAGGCAGAAGCTTGTTAGTCAAGTCAGAACTCATAGCTGTGGATATCCATTCCCCTCCGAGTGTCAAAGCCATAACTCTTCTGTTTGCCTGGTTTGCATTGTGTGGTGGTGCCATTCCCCCATGGAGATGGATCCCTCACACAGGAATACGCCTGGGTGGAGAAAAATTAAATGAATCTGTCTCCCAAAGTGAAATGGAATTCTGACCTTGAAATTAATGAGATTCTGATCGGAAGGGTGGGGAAACTTCTTTATTTCAAATTGTCATGTTATATAAATTGGAGTTCCTTCCCTTTTTATTTGTTTAAAATATGCTTCCCTTATGGAGTACTTTGTGTTCTCCTTTTCTTGGGTGCAGACATTATACCTATGGGAGTATCTATGAGTGCAGGCTGTTTGTACACACCCACATTATTAGCTAGAGTTGCATTTGTGACTAATCTTTAACCAGACACAAAGGTGCCAAGTGGAGACTGTCACCCTGTGCTAGTCCTGGATTCGTCCTCCTTTTTCATTTCTTGCCTTAGATTGGATAGCAGCCTTTGAAGGGTTGGACTAGGCAACATCTGTGCTTTTGATTTTTGAGTTTTTGGAAGGCAAGAGAAACATTTCCTGCAAGGAAGGGTTGAAGAAGCACTATGACAAAGTCAGTAGCAACCTTCTTGGCTCTTGTCATATGCCAACGTGTGTCGGAATATTTATGGTCTGTTTTATGTAAATACATATTTAAGGGCCGTTAGAAGGCCTGATTATTCCCACTAGATGCCTTTCAGGTCCTCCCTACAGAACCGTTTTGAAATAAGTAATATTTCTCAGATAATCGAGTGACAGTATACAAGACTGCTTCCAAAGGGAGAAAGGAGCTTCAGGGGCAGATGGGACAGTGATGGGGGATGGGGAGGGGGGAAGAGAGGAGAAACCGTGGAGGATACAGTGCTTTTCCCAGGATTGCCAAAATGAATCATGTATAATTTAGGTTTTTTATTATTAAAATCTAGAATTAATTTCTGATGGTTGATTTATTTTTCAGTTCTTTTTATATAAATAAAATGTTTTCATAAAATGTAAGAAATGTTTTAATTAAAAAATGACAGTAAAACTCTAAGTAAGTGTTTAGTTTTAGAGCTTTGTTGGGAATGGGGGGGATGTGAAAATGGGGGTATGTACGTCCTTCCTCAGAGTACAAGTTTTATGACTTGAGTTTTAGGTCACTGCAAAATCAGTTTTATAATGGAAACACTGACAGCTTTTACTGTTGCAGCCACCCCCTGCTCACACACTACATCCATATGCAGATATGTCCACATGTGAATGAACGCCTTTTAAGAGGGTCCTGCAGGCATGGTGTAATACACAAGCACTGATTCCTTAATTCTGGGTACTGATAGGCAGAATTTCTTTTGTGATCAAACATGCATTTTTTGAAGATGGAAATATAGCTATTTGGATAAAATATCCTCTCTCCAGTAGATGATTCCAGTTTGTTTGCCTTTCCATCTACCTGGCATCACAGGTGATCCTGAGGTAGGTGTTGGGCTCTAAGGAACAGGAAGCCTTTGCTCTACAGGACTGACTTATTTGCCCTGGAAAAGGGGAGAAGTGTTTTGTGAGGAGCCCTTCATGGAGGATACATAATTCCCCAGGAAGAGGACTGAGGTAACTCCAGTTTATTGTCACTCCCTGAACCAGTCCCCAAGGTTTCTTGTCCAGGGAAAGGATGCTGAAATTTATGGACCAATTACAGATAGTCCTTATTGTGTCTTACATATGAAGCGTCTACAGATATGTTTCCCAGGGCCTTTAAAATAAACATTCCTCATTAAGGAAACTTTACAACAAAAGAGAAGGTAAGTACTGTCTGCTGCCTTGTGCTGTAATGCATACACTTATTACCCCCTCAACACTCTGGCTTTGTCATGTGCATCTCCTGATGGTTCTCTTTAGATCTCCCCTGTGCCCAGACTCCTGCTGGGTGACACAAGTCTTTGGCCAGCCCGCTATCCATTCAGCCCAAATTGGAGTTGGCTAGTATGTGTGCTCACCTCAGGACTGAGAAGGCCCAGAACTGTCCCCATGGAGCAGGGACTGGCCTGCCTTCTGGCTCACCCCAGGGAGGGGCACTGGGCACTGACCATAAGTGGCTTTACTTGGCCCTCTTCCTTGGCCCTTCCTCTGGTCAGGCAGATTCACAGGTAGGTAGGAAAGCTGATGGCTCCAAACAATTCCTGGATATTTTGCTTTGCTCTCATCTTTGATATATTTGAAAAACTATTCTCAGGTCCCAAAAGCCCTGAGTAGGAGATGGTATCTTGTACTCTGAGGTGTATCTTTATAAAGGCATGTTATCATTGAAGACCCTATGTTCTGAGAATACACTGAGCTCTCAGGCCAAGGACAGCCTGAAATGAGGAGGGCTGGCTGACATCATGGGGGTGATGTTAGTGGACTACCTTCCAAGGGCTCTGGGACTGGATGGGCAGAGATGTTAGTCTGGGGTGTGGAGAATGTTTGGAGGCAGTTCCAAGGTCACCAGGCGCCACCTCTGGATTGCAGCTGAAGCAGATGAACAGTGTGAAAGGGTCAGCAAATCATCAGAGTAGAGGGGTCAGATGGTTCCCTCTGTCCTGACTGCCCAGACCTAGCCCAGCTCAGCTGCTCCCCTGCTCTCCCCCCTTTCTCCCCGGGGGCAAGAACTCCTGTGATGTGTGTGGTTTCTGGTTGTTCACTCCCAACACAGTCATGGAGACTCCTTTTCATGCTGCTGGGTTTAATTGTCTTGTTGGGATAAAGAAATGTTTGCACAGCTAAAGTGGGGCCGGGCTGGACGGGAGCGGTCCCTGATGGCTGCAGAGCCATCTGGCCTGGCTTGGCTCAGCTCGGCGCGCCGCTCGCCGGGCGCCTGGGCTCGCTCTCGCTCTCGCTCCCGCTCTCTTCCCCTGCCCTCGCTCCACAGCGCGCCGCTGTTCGGCGGCTGCCTCCTCGCACGGCCGGAATGCCTAATCACCATGGTGAGAAAACGGACACCCGCGGCCGTCCTCCCTCCTCGCCTCGCGCCCTCCCTCCCATCAATTGTCATGCAGAAGTGATCCGGGCTGCCGTTTCCTCGCGGCCGCCAGCCAGCCCCTCGCCGCTCCCGGCAGAAGGGTGGCTGGTAATTGATCGTTGGGGGGAGGGGGCGCGGAGAGGCGTGAGGACCGGCCGGGGGAGGCAAGGCCACACTGTGGGCGCCTCGCTCACTTGCAAAGGACCCCCCAGCCGCCGCCACCGAGGCGGCTCGCAAGTGGTTTCAGAAATGTTGG